CACATGTAAGTTTTTAAGAATTTAAAAAAAATGTTTGGTTGTTTTGTTTGCTACAAAAGTATGTAACAGCACAACTTACTGGTATCTTTGGACACTACTGAAATGGGAAAAGAACAAAAAGACAACTTGCTATTAATTGGAAATAATGTATTTAATTTTTAGAAGGAAGGAATAATAGACAATACACGTGGCTGTTCACCACTGGTTGTCTGATCTTTCTCGGGTTTTAAGTAAATCAAATTCTCCTGTGATTTTTACTTGTAATATTAGATCTTTAAATGTCTGGCTTATACTCTAGCACGTGCTCTGACAGCTGCCAACTTGGAAGCAAACTACTTTATACCAGACCTCCCTAAGCTGCTAGAAAAATTAGTTCTGTCCTGGGTTTTAATGTGTTATTTCACTTAACTGCATCACTTTCGCTGGTTACATGACATATAGTGAAAGGGAAATTAAATTCACATTCTAAAGTTGAGAGGTTCGAACTCCTCGATGCTGTTTTCACATTTAAACGGATGAGATGGTGAAAACCATGCTTTGTTTTGTTTACAACAAGGGTGCCGAATTGCAAGGAACTCTAGGTGAGACATGACAACTTCTTACCAGACTTCCAAAATCTGCTTCTGCTGGAAATGCAGAAAGAAATCGCTTCAGACGTGATTAGCATTATTCTGGAATTAGGGAGATTAGACAACGAGTATTGAGCCATTAACACTTAGTGGTTACTAACTTTGCTGCAAAAAAGAAGGTTAAAAAATAAGTGTATTTAGACCCCAAAATGTTATAAACAGACCAAAAACTCCCCTCTAAGCAGCATGCTGGGACAGCTCCTGCAATTCTTCCCAAGCCAGATGCCCCCTCTGGACTCAGCAACTTGAGAACAACAACATCTGATTAGATACATTCAGCACACACGAGGTATTGACACGACATCAAGCACACACCGCCACTCAGCAAACTATATTTCTAAGTGATAGTTAAAAAAGGTTGCATTCGTATTTTTATGCGTTTTGTCTTGCTACGGTTTCAAAGGGCAAGCTCCGCATCACCAGCAGGCACGTCCGAGCGGCTTCAGATGCCTCCACCGAAGAAGGTAGCTAGCAGGCTACCCTCTGAAGAAAAGGTATGACATAACTTGCACCACCTAATTTCAATAAGAAGTCAGCACTGATCATTAATTTTTAATTGCATAACCTTTTTTAATTAGTCCTCCAGCAAAGTTACTGTAAAGGGCACTTGCACTGCAGAAGTACGCAAGTTCTGTTAGAGGTCTGTACCAGTGAGTCGTTCAGCATTTCTGGGTGCTCTGGAGGAGCAGAGATTCACCAATGCCACGCCTGGGTTTCCAGCAGCGACGTTACAAAAGCACCGAGCTGAAACCAAAACACTGGTTAACTTCAGTGACTCTGTGAAACTGCTGCCAGGAAATAGGACAGAAGGGTATGGCTACTGCTCATGCACGAACAAGGAACACTCCTTTAGAAGGGCGCACACACCGAATGCATCAGACAGAAGCGTGTGGTAGAAATTGGCAGGGTTAGAGGACAGGCTACGGCTACTGCTTGTGCACTAACAAGGAATGCTCCTTTTGAAGGGCACACACACCGAATGTGTCAGACAGAGGCGTTTGGTAGAAATTGGCAGGGTTAGAGGATTCAAGAGACAGCGGCTTCTCGCCTTCATTCCCCACCAAACTTGATTTTCCGCACAAATTCTTAAAGTTATGGGACACTGCCTGTGGACCCGGCCTCAGAAAAAAACTGTTGGTGCACCAACACAGCACGGAAACATAGAATCACAGACTGGTTTCAGAATTGGTAGATGCACCAACACAGCATGGAAACACAGAATCACAGAACGGTTTGGGTTGGAAGGGACCTTAAAGACCATCCAGTTCCAACCCCCCTGCCATGGGCAGGGACACCTTCCACTAGACCAGGTTGCTCCAAGCCTCATCCAGCCTGGCCTTGGACACTTCCAGGGATGGGGCATCCACAGCTTCTCTGGGCAACCTGTCCCAGTGCCTCACCACCCTCTCTGGGAAGAACTTCTTCCTGATATCCAATCTAATCCTCCCCACTTTCAATTTAAACCCGTTCCCCCTTGTCCTGTCACTACAGGCCCTTGTAAAAAGTCCCCCCCAGCTTCCTTGTAGCCCCTTCAGGCACTGGAAGGTGCTATAAGGACTCCCTGGAGCCTTCTCTTCTCCAGGCTGAACAAGCCCAACTCTCTCAGCCTGTCCCCATAGCAGAGGGGCTCCAGCCCTCGGAGCATCGTCCTGACCCTCCTCTGGACTCGCTCCAACCAGTCTATATCCTTCTGATGTTGAGGGCTCCACAGCTGGACGCAGCACTCCAGGTGGGGTCTCACCAGAGCAGAGTACAGGGGCAGAATCCCCTCCCTCGACCTGCTGGCCACACTTCTCCGGATACAGCCCAGGATACGGTTGGCTTTCTGGGCTGCCAGCGCACACTGCATGAAACGCTCCGTTGTTGCTACAGCTATGCAAGTGCGCTTTTACAAAGTACATACCTACAATTACTCCTAACGAAGCTGTATCTGAAAACAATGCCAAAACCAATTACGAACTTCCCGACGGACCTTCTAATAAACTAGCACCACTAGCACCTCCTGTTACCACCTGCCATCAGAGACCAGACTCTGGGCTGTCTGAAAGCAATGCCAAAACCAATTACGAACCACAGATCATCTAACAAACCAGCACCACTAGCACCTCCTGTTACCGCTTGCCATCAGAGACCAGACTCTGGGCTAGGTGGGTCCTTCCTTCGACTTCTGTTCAGGCCTTTGGGTTCTGCTCTCAGGTGTCCAATCATCTATGCATTTCCTACAGGAACGCTTGTCCTTCCATCACCACTAATGTCAGTACGTCCAACTCTGTATCGCACTCTGTTCAAGCTCCTGTCCCTAGTGCATCTCGCATGCCTGCAATGTATCAGCCATACAATGAATTACACTTAGAAAAACCTGTACTCAAACATGGCATGTCCGAATTCTACCCTTTCAGTCTGGTGTCACTACTGTGTTCCTGGAAATCATATGTGCCAGGCTTAAGAAACTGCACTGCAGACAAGTTCTTAGCTTCCCATTTCACTGTTTCACCTGCATCAGACGTGGACGCACACACTTCTGTGTGGCACAACAATTTTTTAGGTGGTAACGATCATCTCTCCTGTTTGATGCAGGGACACTTCCCTTGGTGGAAAATCCTGTATCCCAAAGCATATCTCTGTCCTTCTTTTTATATCAGTTTGTGTCTAGCTGAGTATCATTGTACTCGGCCTGTGTGATCTCCTGTGGTATCTGCTGTAGGGGATCCTGCTCTGGCAGGAGGGTTGGACTAGATGATCTCCAGAGGTCCCTTCCAGCCCCTTCCACTCTGTGACTCTGTGTACTGCTCTCCACTGTACACCCATGCGCAGCAGCTTCCAGTGGGATAGGCTTTCCCTGTTCTCCATCGCAGCTGGTCATTTCACACTGCAAAACGTTGGGTTTGCTGGGTCCTGCCGTGTTGCAGGAAGGGCTACGAAGCCACTGAAGCGGGATCAAAGGTATGCACAAACAACTGGAGCATCTCCTCAACTTTTTCCGTTAGCTACTTGAAGGTTGATCAGAAGGTGTTCAAGTGTCTATGAAGAGCGATTACCTTTTAAATGTTTGAGGTCTGCACATATTCCTCTGGCATGTTGTTGCAAGGCACTCGTGCAAAACCCATCCCCACCTGTCTTTCACCCTTTAACTCCTTTGGCCATTAGGTATACGTCCCCTCATGCGCTGCATCTGTCTTCTGTAAGCTCCTTTACCTACGGAGATACATTTACTTCATATAAACACGAGGTTTGACCATCCAGTTTCCAACCTCTGTTTTAATGGAAATCTTTGTTTAAATGAGAATACCTTAGAAATTAACAATGCTTCTTTAAAATGACAAATTACCTTTCGGCTCCTTGTTTCTATAATTTTCATTCATTTTTGATACAACGTTATCTTTCCATTAGAGCTGATACAGCAAACACTTCCAAAAAAAGCCCCAAACCAACCCAAAACTTCAGACAAATCAATCCCCACGCTCAGGGAAGGAAGATCTTTTCTCACCTCCTGTAGTTTCTCCTGCACCATTGATACCTTCATCACCGACGCTAACAATTTCAGACACGCCATTGTTTGGCCATCTATATCTGCCTCGGATTTCTGTCTTTATTCTTCTTTTTTTAACACTGGCACTGCTGGAAAACTCTGTACAAGTAACTGTGTTCATGGGAATGCAATGTTAACATCCAAAAGTTTTATTTGACTTAACTCCATCTAGGCACAGGAGGAGGAAACACAGCTAGAGTGCCCAAAATTCCTTCGGGCAAACTGAAACATTTATTTCTAACGTCTATTAACGAAACGCTTCTAAATGGCAATATTTGTGTTAATTAGTTCCATTATCCAGGAAGTCTTCAAGTATTTATAGGAGAAATTAATGAAGCACATACATAATCTTTTAAAAATATACAAAAAACTGTATATAAAATTTCTTCTGTTTTTAGTTATATTTCTCCTGGTTTTATCAACAGAGATACGTTTTGCAAACTTCTGTGGAATTAAACCCACAAAGACCACTTAGTCTCAGCAACAAACCTCCGCAGAAGTGTTTCTTACTATGAATACAACCATAATTACAACTACTTTTGGCAGCCAACTTCAGCACTTCCACTGTCTTTAAGAGACAGCAGGAGACAAAACACACTGCCCCTAAACCATCAATTCCTTCCTTACACGGTTTCAAGGCATAGTTTCTTAATAATGGCACGAAACAGAGTTTGGTGTGCCAGAAGAGTGGTTTTTTTGCTCTAGTTACTTCAAAAAACTCACCACCATAATTAAGTGACTTTCTGGGAATTTTTAGGTCGATAGGAATCACAGCAGGCTGGAGTAACTTTAATAGACGTTGCCAGTTAGAACTGAGACTAAAGTAAAGTCTGAGTAAACCCAAAGTCCAGTTATTTGAATTTCTGCTTTTTCCTTGCCTGAAACTCTTCGGTTTTATTTTTGACAGATTTTATTAGCATTGACAAGGCAGGATCTATGGCTTTCTTAGCAACCTCTCCTTTCTTTGCCTTCTTATTCTCCTGCCCCTTGCTTCCTCCCTTAAGATCTTGCTCCTTTTCTTCTCTTCGGCGAGCTTTCTCTTCCAAGATCTTTTCTACTGCTTTTGTCTTCTTGAAATTTGGATCTGAAGGATCCAAATTAAACAGGGGAGAAGTGAACATGGCTTGGAATCTTGTATCAGCAACATTTACCTGAAGGCAGAAACAGAGGATTTATTTTCAGCAACCTTTACCCATGACAGCAAAACGTTTAAAACACAATGAGCTGCTTAAGGAGTCACAGTTCCTGAGACTGTTCACCATTCCTGGAACTGCTCCAGTCACAAAATCCCAGGGAGTGTGAAGCAGAGAGCCAGAAGACATTATTGGTAAAAGAGACAAGTGAGGGCTGGTACAAATGCTGCGTATGCCCCTCTCGGCAGCCAAGGAAAGGTTTGTTGTTGGGAACTGACCAGGACAAAAGCTGCAGGGGGTGACCATCCCAACAAACACACCAGTGAGTACTTTGGGCCATGAGATGTGCAAGGCCCTGTATAAATGGTATCTTGGTATTTTACACAGAGCATGAGTCGGTTTCCTTCTACATCCTATCTGAGGGTTTCTTGGTTTTCGAATGGTTACAGCCTGTAACTCCCTAAAAAGGTAGATCTAGTTCAAGTTCATCTCCTTCAGAGAGAGTAAGGGAGGAGAAGGACAGGAAAGCACCAAGTATGTCCTGAAAATAACTGATATTAACAAAGGTTCTACCTAAGCCTCAAAATCAAGAGTACGCCATTACCTGGAAGTCATCTTCTAGTAATTCTTTCTTTTTCATTAGAAGTTTCTTTTTCTTCTTGCTCAAATTCTGTTGTTCCACAATCTTCTTATAATTAAAATGTTTTCTGTTGTCATCCTCATCATCCATCATCAGCAGGGCCATTTCAGCCTGTTACAAAACAAGACAGTTCATGTACACAACGAAATTAAGTTTTCTATGGGAAAGATAGCGTCTCATTAAGAAAGTCTGTATGAGTCATAGAATCACAGACTGGTTGGGGTTGGAAGGGACCTTAAAGACCATCTAGTTCCACCCCCCCTGCCATGGGCAGGGACACCTTCCACTAGACCAGGGTGCTCAAAGCCTCATCCAGCCTGGCCTTGAACACTTCCAGGGATGGGGCATCCACAGCTTCTCTGGGCAACCTGGTCCAGTGCCTCCCCACCCTCTCCGGGAAGAACTTCTTCCTGAGATCCAATCTAAACCTCCCCACTTTCAATTTAACCCCGTTCCCCCTTGTCCTGTCACTACAGGCCCTTGTAAAAAGTCCCCCCCAGCTTCCTTGTAGCCCCTTCAGGCACTGGAAGGTGCTATAAGGTCTCCCCGGAGCCTTCTCTTCTCCAGGCTGAACAAGCCCAACTCTCTCAGCCTTTCTTCCTAGGAGAGGTGCTCCAGTCTACATACATATGACTGGAAATAGGACTGCTGGGGCAGTATTATTTAATCCATAGCAACATTCTTTTAAGATTCTGAGGTGTAATATTAAATACAATAGTTGATTTCCTTTTTATCAGGTCTAAGTACCCACACTGAAACATCTGAAAACTGCGTTAACTTAAAATCATGAACAGATACAATTTTATACTGATATTTATATAGCAAAACCAAAGTTAACACACATGAATTTAATACATTTATTTAGTTAACTTGTCCTGAGAAAGAATGAAAAGCAAGCATACGGTAGCAAACAATTCAATGTTAAACGTCTACAGGACAAGGTTTGAAGACACAAATGTTTCGTGCAATGCCGATGCTAAGAGTAAACGTTCAGCACCATCCCGCACACAGACCCATCAGGACAGCTTTAAAGCTAGAGGGACTAACCGGTGTGGCTTCTGTGCCCTTACACTTCAGCATGCCTAGCTCTATTGAGCTGTGTTCAACTACCATCTTCCAGAAGTATATCATGGCACAATCTTAAGGCATCAAGGCATGGACCACCTACCATTCTTCTTGGGTAGTTTTTATTCCAAAACCTCTCACTATTAAAATTATACAGTTTAATTCTATCGTCATCCTATGGAATTCAGTAGTTCCACTCAAATAACAAATATCTGCAGAATTCGGGCATTGCAACATCTGTGACTCGTAACATTTTAAACCATTTTACCTTCTGTTTTTCAACTTCATCTTCATCTTCTGAGGTACTTGCAACTGATTCTGACTTCTTCTTTAAACCTAAGTGGAAATGTAGGACATGCACACATTTATGCAAGTGTATGCACATAAGTTACCTATGAATAGGATCTCTGAGAGCATCTCATTTTCTTGTAATCAATACTGAAATGCCAGATGTGGGAAAAGGCTGAAGAGTTAAGAAAAAAAACAGCTGGACTTAAAGCAATAAAAACCTGCCGAATATTTGTTCAATTTAAGGAGGCAGCAATATTCAAATGGCATTAACAAGTCAACAAAAAAGAACAGTTAGAAAAAAAAATGGTTTTACTGTATTTTTCATGGAGTATAGAGAGAAGTGTCACAACAATGCAGACAAACATGGGCCATTACTCCACTCCCAGGGTGTTTTAAAGAGAAATTGGTTTATATACTAATAAAAGTAATTGAAGTGTCCTGCAGTTGTCAAATTGTCCATTTCTTCTACTTAAGTAGACAATGTGGTAAATACTGTACAATCAATAGCAAATGTGCATCTCTCCTCTGTCTCCAGAACACACGTCTGCCGGCTGAGTATGAGCTCAGCAGTAAAAAACAAAACAACAACAACAACAAAAACCTCCAAAGAATCCCAAAACAACCCCATGCCAAAAAAAAAAAAAAAGAGAAGAAACAGTTTTAACAGTTTTTAAAATTTTGATACAAGGCTCAAAGACCATATTGTGCTGTTGGACACACTATTAAAAAAAACCCTTGCAAAAAAAGACCTGAACAGAATCATGGGAATGAAAATCCAATTGACTCTTTTCAGATCAAATATTCTTCTGGTGAGGCACTCTTACTCTCAGAATTTACTCCAGAAACACTGTGCTGATTAGACAGACATAATTAACAGTAACAGCGTAAGTCATCAATCAAACATAATTTTTAATGAAAACAGGCCCATTTATAAATCCTACAAATTCCAATCCTTCTCCTTGGAATGCTTGTAGACCTCGATCAAGAAGGAGCAGGAAGAGCAGAAGGTTTTACCTTCTGAACCACATACTCTGACCTTTGAGCCTGGAATTACATTCCCAGGCAATTTATTACAGTCCCCTGGGGGTACTCCTAAGGAAGATATTTGGCTCCATTTTGTTAAGCCAGATTTGTTGTCAGACTAGCAATACCAACATGCCAGAAAAATGTCAAGTTATAGCACAGAGTACACTCTGGAACAGGACACATTTCTTGAAGAACACTTTTTTCTCCACTGACTATTGGCTTGATTATTTCTAAATGGATTCCAAGCTGGAGGCAGATTTCTAGAAGAAACAAACCACCACCACCGAAAACCAGACCATCCAGATGCGCAGTGTCATCTGCTCAAGAACTAGCCTGTTGATTGAGTAGTTCCAGAAAGTGTGCCAGAAAATCCAATTCAGATATAATACTGTTCGTTCCCTAACCTACACAATTTACATTAGGTTGTAGAAGGGAGAAATAAATGTCTTACGTAAGATTTCAACAACTATGAAATGTTTTGTATTATCCCAGAACTGGCTAAACCACAGAAAAGGAAACAGGGCAGAGATACGAAGTGAAGACAATTAATTCTCCAAGTTCAACCAGTAAATCTCCTGGACTTCTCGCCCATCCCCAAACAAGGGCCCTCAAGTCATCTTCCCTTGTCTTTCACTCAATGGAGAATTACGTAAGTGAAGGTATCTTCAGCCTTCAGACACTTTTGTTGCTGCAGATGGGCATGAACCAGGCCCCAGTATCAACCCATTTACTTCTTATTATGACCCTGTGCAGCTAATAAAAACAGCTTGGTACATGAAATCACTCTGAGCACTAAAAACTTTGCATCATGCTCAAAATAATTCAGTTTCAGAATTCACAGATAATTTTCTTTCTCCTGACGTAGTCACTCTCCCCACATACATTGTGGGTGTCTGTCCCCTCCTTTCTGTACATGTATAAATGTAAAACCTACGATAAGAATCACAAAACCATAGATTCATAAAATGGT